AAAGAAAGAAAGAAAGAAAGAAAGAAAGAAAGAAAGAAAGAAAGAAAGAAAGCAAGCCTGAACAGGCATACTTAAATCAATGAGTAGCTATCATTTATTGTCTCAGAGTCAAAAGTTAAGTGGGAGCTTAAACTAAAGGAATCTTTCCTGAGATTGAAGTAGATGGAAGGAAGCATGACTGTGATCATCCAAGAGCCTTGAAATACTTGAATGTTCCAAAGAGCTTCGCATTTGCCACACAGGGCTCTTTAGAAACCTCATTGACCATCCTCAAAACAAGGAATTCCAGTATGGAAGGCTGAAACAAGAAGATTGCTGATGATAATCCTGAACAGCCTGGTCTACATAGTATGTGTTCTTGTCTCAGGAAAAGAAACAGAGGAGGGAGCATGGGAGGGTGGGGGGGGAAGAGGCCAGGCAAGGTGATTCTTGCCTTTATTCTAGCACTGGGGAGGTAGAGGCTGGTGGAGCTCTGTGAGTTCTAGGCCAACCAGGTCTACACAGTAAAACACAATCTTTAAAAGAAAAGAAGGGAGAGAGGGAGGGAGTGAAGCAGGGAGGGAGGGAGGGAGGAAGGGAGGAAGCAAGGGAGGAAGGAAGAGAGGAAGGAAGGAAGGAAGGAAGAAAGGAAGGAAGGAAGGAATGGAGGGAAAAGGCAGATGTTACTATCTAATGAATGAGATACAGAAAGCGGAAGAGTGGAATGAACAACATTTTGTCGCTGAAGTTGTAGCTCAGCTTCTAGCATACTGGCCTAGCATGCATGAAGCCTTGAGTCTGACTCCCAGCATTGCATAAATGGAGCAATGGATGCCGGCAAATCTACTCTTTACACAGAGATCAGCTTGCCTGCTCTGACTAGTAAAAACAAAACAATTTGAATTAATTCGTTTGAGAAACTGCAAGCTATAAAACAAATCTGTGAACACTGACTGTTTGTATTGTCTAACATATTTGGCCAGTTTGTGCTTAAGAAATACATGGGAATTAAAGCTAGAAGATGCATACTTATAAGACAAATACATCTCAATACTGTATCATGTAATATGAAAAGAAAATAATCTGGATTAACAAATTAATAAGGTCTTTCTGAACCTGGACGAGCAGGAGGTGCGATCATGGGTGTTGACATTCGCCACAAACAGGATCGAAAGTTTCGGCACAAGGAGCCCAGGAGCCAGGACATCTACCTGCAGCTGCTAGTCAAGCTGAACAGGTTTCTGCCCAGAGGAACCAACTCCACTTTCAATCGCGTTGTGCCGAAAAGGTTATTTATGAGCCGCACTAACCGGCCACCTCTGTCCCTGTCCAGAATGATCTGAAAGATGAAGCTTCCTGGCCGGGAGAACAAGACCGCTGTGGTTGTGGGGACGGTCACAGAT